TAGAACTGCCCCCATAGGGTTTCCAAGGAGCTGCTGGTGGATTCGAACTACCGGCCTTTTGGTTAGCAGCCGAGCTCTTAACCACTGTGCCACCAGGGCTTCTCATGAGGTATAGTAGTATTAAATTAATTAATTAAAACGTAAATTGTGACTAACCCACAATTTGCTTAGCTATTCCTGTTGATGAACATTTGGGTTTTCCATTTATGTTCTTATTTTTTGGTGCTTATGTGCAAAAATTTTCTAGCCTAAATAACTTAGGAGTAGAATTGTTGGGGTTTAGTGTATGCAAATGTTCAGTTTTACAAGATAATGTCAAACTGTTTTTTGAAGTGTTGGTACCAATTTTTATTTGAATTCCATTGCTCTACAACCTAATTTATGCTTAGTATCATCAGACTTTTAATTTATGTCAACCAAATAGGTAATATTATCATTGTGCACTTAATTTGCATTTCCTTGATTGCTAATCAAGTTGAGTATCTTTTCATATGTTTGTCATTTGTGTTTCCTCTTCTATTGAATTCCTGTACATATTTTTTGCTCATTTTTCTATTGTATGGTTTTTTTCAGTTTGGCTTTTAAAAGTTTTGATTTTTAAGAATCCTCTATATATTCTGGATTCATATACTTTTTTTGGTCAGTAATATATATTGCAAAGATCTGCTCCCAATTTATGTCTTTTTTGATAAACAGAGGTCTTTCATTTTCATGTGGTTGAACTGATCAATTATTTGCTTTATGATTTTTGAGTGTTGTTTAAGAAATCTTTCCCTTCTCTGAGATCATCTATATTTTCTTCTAAAAGTTAAATTTTTGCCTTTCACAGTTAAGTCTCTAATTCATCTGGAGTAGATTTTTATGTATGATTTGAGTTGGAGAACTAACTTCCTTTTTTTTCCATATGGCTAACTATGAAGAAATGTGAAGGATCTGAGATTTTACCCTACTTGTAAACTAACAAGTTAGCCTTCCAGTTTCATGGATGCTGGTTCTAGCCTAAGGACTTTATTACTCATGGCACAGCAAGTAGTATGAACATCATGCTGGCGTGGGTTCCTCTTGTCCTAATTTCCAGAGACCTATGTGAGATGGCCAGATGATTCCTGCACTGCAGTGGGTGGCAGTACAGGAGAGGAACCCTGAACTTAGGAAACCTAAATCTTTATAATGGGCAATAAGTCTGCCTTACCTTTGTCCCAGAGGGAGATATAAAGATTATAATGATCAGTAAACAAACCTGGAAAAATTTCAGCCATTTTCTATTCAAATATTGCTTCAGTCTTGTGATGGTTAAAGTTGTGTGTCAACTTGGCCGGGGCATGATCCTCAGTGGTTTGACAGTTATGATGTAGTTTGGCTCTGTCTTAGTTATCTAGTGCTGCTATAACAGAAATACCACAAATGGATGGCTTTAACAAAGAGAAATTTATTCTCTCACAGTTTAGGGGACTAGAAGTCCAAATTCAGGGTGCTAGCTCCGGGGGAATGCTTTCTCCCTCTGTTAGTTCTGGTGGAAGGTCCTTGTCATCAGTCTTGCCCTGTTCTAGGAGCTTCTCAGTGCAGGGACCCTGGGTCCAAAGGACGTGCTCCCTATCAGCTCTTGTTTCTTGGTGGTATGAGCTCCCTCTGTCTCTCTGCTCGCTTCTCTCTTTTATATCTCAAAAGAGATTGACTCAAGATACAACCTAATCTTGCAGATGGAGTCCCACCTCATTAACATAACTGCCTCTAATCCTGCCTCATTCATATCATAGAGGTAGGATTTACAACACATAGGAAAATCACATCAGATGACAAATTGGTGGACAATCACACAATACTGGGAATCATGGCCTAGCCAAGTTGACACACTTTTTTGGGGGATACAACTCAGTCTATAATAGCAACTTTTTAATGATGTAATTACCTCCATAATGAGATCTGATATAATGTGATCATCTCCACAATGAGATCTGTTGTGAGCAGCCAATCAGTTGAAAGGAAATTTCCTTGTGGGTATGGTCTGCGTCCAATATAGGTGGATTTTCTGGCAAGGCTCACTGGCTTTTGCTGCTCTGGATCCTGCAGCTGGCTCCTGTTCATCTGACTGCTCGCTCTTGGGACCTGAGCTAGCAGCTTACCTGCCGTCTTACCTGCCAATCTTGGGATTCATTGGCATCTACAGCCTGTGATCCAGAGGCTTGCTATCTGACCTTCTGATCTTGGATTTTCTAGCACCTGTGGCTATGTGAGTCAGGAGAAGCCTCCAGTCTGACCCACAAACTTTGGACTTTCCAGCCTTTACAATTGCATGAGCCATTTCCTTTATATAAATCTCTCTCTGTGTATATTTATATGCTATACTGGTTTTCCTTCTCTAGAGAACCCAGCCTAAGACAACTCCTATTCTCATTTCTTTTACTGGCACTCTGAGTAGACATATATATCTTCTTAGTTGCTTAACCTCTTTGTCATTTTTCAGCCCTTTGGCTTTCTGTAATGCATTCTGGGAAACTTCTTTAGATCTGTCTTCCAGTTCATAAATTCTCTCTTCAGCTATACCTAATTTATATTTAATTTGTACATGATATTTTAAATTTTAAACTTCAACGATTATATTTTTCATTTCTAAGAATATTTTTGTTTTTCTTCAAATCTCTTTGGTTATATCTGATGGATTCTTTATCCTGATCATTTTTTATAGATACCATCTTTATCTGCTTTCCATATAAAACATGATTATTTTGTATTTTGCATCTGATAATTCTATGGTTTACTTGTGTATGTTTAGTAGTTTTTTATTCTGAGTGCATACTTTGTCGAACTTTATTGGTGGGATCTATATTAAGGATGTTTTCCTCCAGAGAAGATGTGTGTTTGGATCTGCCAGGTATCAGAGGTCCTATCGAGCACTTTAATTTCTTGGCTTGGGGTTTCCTTGACCTTATGCAGAGTGTAAATTTGAATTCCTGACTTGAGGGGCCAGACGTGTGGCTACAAATTTCAGGAGGTGGCTATTATTATTCTGATTTTTCTCCACTTAAACCAGTGTGGAGTTCTTGATCGGCTTCCTTTGCTAGCATTTTTCCTGGGCCACCCTTGCCTAAAATTGTAACCGTCTTCATATGTATGGCTTAGGGTGGGAATCTCAAATTTAAGCTCACCCAACTCCAATGGCCTAAGGTTTAGTTTCCTGTTCTCTACAGGCAATCCCAGTTTTTACAATTGCTTACACTTTATATTCAGTTTTCAATTCACTCTTCTTTTTTTTAATGCCTTTGGAACTTTACTTTCTTGCAAGCTAAACTGTGCATTAAAAATCAGTTCATTGTAATTTATCCAGGATGTAGTAATATTGTATAAGGAGGGCTTTTTAGAATATCTGGTTCATGCTGCTAGAAGCAGAAGCCAAGATCTTTTAAAAATGTAAAATAGATTATGCCACTTCCTGCTTAACACCCTCTAATGGCTTTTTCTCACACTTAATAAATGTACAAACCATCCTGGCTCAGCTCATTCCCGGCTCAGCTCACACACACACACACACACACATACACACACACACACACACACACACACACACACACACAAACACACACTGCCCCCCTCAGCCTTGTTGTTCCTCAGGCATACTGAGCTCATTCCTGCCTTAGAGACTTTACATTAGTGACTCCCCTGTCTGGCACACTCTTCCCTCTCCACATGGCTGACTCCTTCTTATCATTCAGTCTTACTATAAATGCCACCTATTCAGAGGCCTTCCCTGACTAGCTACCACATTTCTCTATCATATCACCCTGTTTTAATTTTCTCATCTATTAAGCCCCTGGGTGGAACAAATGGTTAAATGCTTGGCTGCTAACTGAAAGGTTAGCAGTTCAAGTCCACTCAGAGGTACCTTGGAAGGAAGGCCTGGCAATGTACTTCTGAAAAATTACCATAGAAAACCCTACAGAGCACAGTTCTACTCTGACACACATGGGCCACCATGAGTTGGAATTGACTTGATGGCAATTGGTATGGCACCTATTATTTATTATGTAATGTTTTCCTGTTTATCATCTATATTCCCCTGCTAGAACATAAGACGTACAAGATCAGGAACATTATCTGTCTGGTTTATCACCATCTTCTCAGGTTTGGAACAGTTCCTGGCACATAGTAGAGACTCAGTACATACTTGTTGAATAACTGAGACTGAATATTGGCTTTTCATTCTCTGTAGGCAGGACCTAGGCTCTCTAGCTCTCCACAGTTGCCATTACTTCCTATTATCTCTCCAATTCAGCTTGCTTTGTTAATTTACTTATCTACCTGGCTCCTGTAGGCATTTGAGTTTTCAATCCCTGATCACAAATGTCACTCTAATTATACCTTCAGCATTTTGAGAGTAGAGGCTATGTTTTATATTTCTGTTTTTCCTTCAACATCTTTCATACAATATGAGAAATTAATATTCATTGAATATCTTCTACCTGTCAAGCACAACACTATAATTTATATCCTCACAACAATGCTATGAGGTGGGCACCGTATGTCCATTCTACAGATGAAGACACACTGAGGATAAGAGTTCCTCAGGGTCATACAGTAAGCAAAGTATCTGGGACTGGAAACTATCTAGACCTACATTACCTAGTCCGTTGAACTATTGTGAAAGGGTTGTTCATATCTGAGGGAGAGGTGGTTGTTTTCAATCTGCAAAGTGGAGATGGAGTGATTCATTGGATATTTCAGGTCAAGTTTACTTGGACAGTCTGGCTATTTACTTTGTTATCGATTTTGCACCATTGAGCCTATGAAGATTTATCTTAAGATATATCTAAATTTGGCTATAAGAGGCTTTGGAGCCCTTAATCATGCCTTCTACATGAGGGTCCTGCATCTCTAATAAATGTCTGATGTTGGCAAATATTATGGAATTCAGCAGCAAGGAGATTTCCTGAAGGTAATTTCAGTCACACCATCCACCTGTCCCTGGATTATAGGACAAAGAGACACTGAATGTACCAGCATTCTTTTAAGTAACAAAATCTTTTTATTATTATTTTTTACAGAAATTCAGATATTCCAACAAATTTCTCTACATTTCCTGGACCTTAAAAAAATTACACACAACTTTTGGACACAATACAACAGAACAGAATGAGACGGGGAGTCACTTTTTTTGTTAAAAAAGATAAAAACATACTTCTTATACTTAATATTTAGTGATTTACATGTGTATTACCTATGTACAAATGGTACGTCATCAGTGATCCATCTTCAGAGCACTGTGGTCTGCTAAATTACACTTAGGTTTTATGGCAAAAACATTTTTGTGACATTTGCACATGGATAGGAAGTACTTTTTCATTTTTGTTACACTGCTATTACTGATGTATGACTCCCTGTTGAATCTGTAATTTACTTCGAATAGAGAAAGCCAATACCTTCGGTTTTTATTGTAGATAAAGTAGTGAGGTACTTCCCTTTAAATAAAAGGTGAATTCTTGAAAAGTTGTGTGTAATTAAATTTAGTAAGTATGTTGTTTTGACTGCAGTAGGAGAGCTAATACTTAAAGCAACAAATAACTCCTAGAATGGCTAATACATTAGTTACAGATAATAAGTAATCCTTTATCTTAGTTCTTTAGAAAATCCACACTTTTGTATATTGGGTTTACTCATTTGAGCCACGTGTGTAATATACTTTTAGCCATTTGAAACATGATCCAATTTATGGCGAAAAGGTGGCTAGAAACCAGACACATTTGGCTGAAACAGGAGCGAGGGTAAGAGAAATCAACCATGATCTGTATCACTTCTTGTAGTATCCTCTGTCTTATGTTTTAGTGATATATGCTAATTTGATCTTAATCTTGAGTCTATGAATGAAGGCATTCTATACGTCCATGTTTTCTGCTCAGGTATACAACATGGTTGGGTTTACACTGATTATCTCTGCATGTACATTTTTAGCTTGTGCTTTGCTTTAGGCTATTGGCTATTCAATATTAAATATTTTTCTGTTGTTGGATTTTGGCAGGATGTGTGGTGAGGGTGATGGTGGGGTAAGCCTGGGAGCAAAACACTGTTGAAGACAACTGGTTAGTTGTAAGTATCTCCAAATGCCCAACAGCTGAAAAAAAATTTGAGTGTTTCTGAAGCCAACATTAGTAGATAAAAAGGCAACTCACTCCTACCAAGTTTCTTTGACCTGTATAAGTATATATTCATTTATTTCTAAGGCTATTAAATTATTATTTATTTTGTTAGTACCACTTACTATGATTTAGAAGTAGATTTGATGGAATGATTGCTTTTTTTTTAAACAAAAATGAGTGCATGTCAGTAAGGAAAATAGAGGATATGCATTTCTGATGACATGTATGGCAAAGAAATAGAAAAAAAAAATCAGAGATATTTTAGATACCTATTTATAAAGTATATTAAATTCCTATGCATATACTAGGGAGTATTAGAAAAAAGTGTTTATTTGATAGCAGCCTATATATTACATGTGAGCATCCAAGGTGAAAATGAGCTTTCTGTATTTTTCAGAGTTCCTTGATGCTGTTTCCTGAAAGATAGGGAAATCTATATTGCTTGGGAACCTATGATGTAAAGATGTACTTCCTGTAATATACAGCTTGATGGAGTAATAATATATGTCAGAAACACTTTCTCAGTAATAACTTGTACAAACAGATTAAACTGAACACAGACTTGGTGAAAAGTCTGAAGCTTTACATCTCTTAATAACGGAGAGGTTTTAACTAATGACACAGTGAAATAAATGAACGGCAGAGATGGAGAATCAAAAGTCATGTCTCCTATGAAAACATTCAGAGGCATTTCCTAAGACGCTTCCTTAATAAATGTTGCTTGATCAGCCTCTTGGCTATTGAGACAGGAATAATTTAGAACTGACTGCCTTTTTTAAATGTTGAAAGATTAAAGCTTTTTGTTTCAGTTTAATTAAAAAAGGACAGTTTACAAACTTCAGTACATATGTATTTTACATGTTAATTCTAGCATATTTATATTTCTCTTCCTTAAAATATTTCCTGAATGTGATATCTCAGTGAATGTTATCTGATCTTATTCAATGACAGTTTCCAATGAGCTGGTGTTTAATCCACAATTGCATCTCTTTCCAGAAAAATCACTCCCATCTCTGCCAATCTAGATTTAGGAAGTGCTTTGACAAGTGGATGTTTCACTCTCGTCCATATTCATCTCTGTATTCTGACTTCTCCCAAGTGTCTTCCTTCTTGATGTTGATGTACAAAAGCTGTTATTCAATTTGTTTAGCTGTTGTTCGATTTGTTTTGTGCTCATTCTAGAGAATATTGGCTTAGCAGAACTGCAGAAAGGGTGGGGCAGGGGTACGGTAGGGAAGAGAGAGAGAGACGAAATGAATCACTTTCTGTTAGCAAGATTTTTGTGCACAATATTTATCACAGAATAACCACACCAACAAACGGTTAAAATGCACTTTAGATTTGTTACCAAAGTAGATTGAAAAGTCTGAGGTTTCTGTTCCATTAAAACATACAGCACAGTCTTTCCCAGGAAGGGGGACGCCCTATAATCCAGACATATGTATTCCCTCCATCAGGGTCAAGATTATAGGCTGCTTTGAAGAATGTAGAATGATCCCAAGCATTACTGATTTTTCTGTCTGGCATGGAATTTTCTCACTTGAGAGTTTTTCTTTTCTTTCAAATTTTTACTTAGTTACTACATAATCAACCTTATTTAACAGGTATAAAAGAAATGATTATAAAGATGAATCACCTACAATCCATTCATCTTGACACGCCATTTTCTTCCCATCTTTCCAGTCTTTATCTAAATGCACTTATTTTATGTAGTTGTATCACAGTATAGGTAACATTTTAATGTTATACTAAAAACAAATTTTTACATTTCTACTGTCTACATAATGAGCATCAATGTCTAATGGCTGTATAATATTCCATTCTATTCTTATTCCATTTTCAACTATTTCACTATTGTCAAATATGTAGGTAGGTTTCTGATTTTTTTTTAAATCATGAATAATGAACATCTTTGCATATAAAGTTCTATTCTTTTTAATCCTTTCTTTAGGACCAATTCTCGGGGGATGGCTGCTTCTCCTTTCCTTTAGCAGACCAGGGACTATGCCTGTATCAACACAACTAGACCACAAATAGTAGAATCAACTCCATTCTTGGATGATTTTCATAGACTTCAGTACTGGTAACCAGGGCTTAAACCCAAACCCATTGCCGTTGAATAGATGCCAACTCATAGCTACCCTGTAGGACAGTAGAACTGCCCCATGGGATTTCCAAGGCTGTAATCTTTATGGAACCAGACTGCCACATCTTACTCCCCTGGAGTTGCTGGTAGGTTTGAACCACTGACCTTTAGGTTAGCAGCTGAGTGCTTACCCAGTACGCCACTGTGAGGATGGGTAAGCGCATCTTGCTGGCCACAGTGTGGCAGATTTGGTCTGAAAGGAGATCACCTATTTGGTTTTGCATCACAGAGCACTTTGAAACATAAATTGTAATAGAACAAATGGCCCATTATTCAGCTATTCACCTCTTTCCACTTCACAAGATGAGATTATGACTTCTGAATGTGTGCTAGAGAAACCTCTGAAAAATGTTGTTGTTTCTAATAATTATTCCCTTTTCGTTCTAACACACTTTAAAAAATCTTATGCACATTATGATTTTAACAAACTTCTCTCAGCAAGGGAACTCCCAGTTACTTTAATGCACCCAGACTTCACAGGGGATAATTGAAATATGATCATGTCATAATGATGATTAGGCTATAATGACTCTCTGAGATTGAATCACGCTGGCAGAAGCCCTATGGGAGGGAATGCTTTCTTAAGATGTTATTAAAAGCAACATAAGCAATCCATGGATGTTATCCAGTGCTATAGGTGGTTCTGAACCCTGGGTGGTCTCTGCTCTGCTGCAGAGGAAGTTCTCCTGCTAGCTGGAATCCAAAGTTGAGTTTGTGGCTTCACAATTCTACTATTCTAGCATCCTTCACTGACATTTTTCTATTTAAAATCCACAAGACTGAATGTTTGGGTTTCCAGTAAGATGGTGAAAGGTGGTAGCTGGAAGTGGAGGGAGAGAGGAGTAGGTAGAGTTATAAACATACGAAAAAACAAAACAAAACAAAACCCACTGCTATTAAGTCGATTCCAACTCATAGTGACCCCATAGGGTTTCCAAGGTTGTGGATTTCTATGCAAGCAGAGGATCACATCTTTCTTTCTCCCATGGAGCTGCTGGTGGTTTTGAACCACCGACCTTTTGGTTAAAAGGCAATCGCTTTAACCATTGCACCACCAGAGCTCCTTAAACACTGAAGAGAGAACATGAGTGTTGAGAAGTAGCTAGGCATGTGGAAGAGTAGGGAGCACCTGAAAGTGCCCAGAACCATATGCCTGTGATGCAAGGGAAGGGGGAGGGAAGAGGTTAGTCCCTGTTTTCCTGATGTTCTCATATAACCAAAAAATCTAGTTGCCATTGAGTTTATTCTGAATCACAGTGACCCCATGTGTGTAGAACTGTGCTCCACAGGGTTTTCAATGGCTGATTTTTCTGAAAGTAGATCCACCCAAGGCACCTCTGGGTGGACTTGAACCACCAATCTTTCAGTTAGCAGTCAAGTGCATTAACTGTTGCACCACCCCAGAACTGCAAGACACTGCTGCACCGCATACCAGAGAATGGTACCACCACGCAACAGGAACCCTCGGGCATGCCAGAGTTCTGCAGATGGTCTTGTGCTAAAAATAACCATGAAATTTGTTCCAGTGGTGATCTGAACACAAACACTCCCCATACAATATCAGGAAAACACTTTGCTGGGAGAGTAAAATTAGAAGCTATTATGATTACTTAGATGGCGTGCACACCTGAAGGCTTGACAAGGGTTGACTGTTCGAATAGATTTGTGAAGCCAGTAGATGGAGGGGGATGAAAGGTCGGGTTTTCCTCTCTGGATATTTCCATCACTCATTCAGTCTTAATGACTGTGAGACATACGAGGACAGCCTGCAGAATTCCGTGGTAGATCAGTGTGGCTACACCGTGATTGTTGCTTTATAAACCATTCTGCTCTTTTAAAAAGTTTTGCTAACATTTCCTATGCACCATGGATGTTGCATAGCTCAGGGGAGGAAATTTAAAAGATGTCACATTCTTCCAGGTTTGTGCAGAGCAGGATGTGAATAAATGTCATTCAATGTTGCCTTAGATCTTTGTTCAGTCGAGTTTGTCCTTGTAACATGTCATGGCTCTGAGTTGCCCATATTCCTTTTCCAAAGGGCTCTTTGCAGATCTTTTTCAAAGCTGTCATCTGAATCACTGCTCATGAAAGCAGTATTTATAATGGGTGCATTGTCCAGACTACCTAAATATTGCGTTGTTGAATTTTCTACATTTTAGGGACTTTGAAAAGTCTCCTGTGGTTGGCTTCTGCTGATTGTTCCTATCGACCTATTCAGTTAGCTCCTGGAGTCCCCTAGGTCTGCATAGCTAGGGGCCAGGCATGTCTTAGGGAGTGAAATGCTCAGTGGGAGTGGTCAGGCTCTTAGGAGAATCACTGGCTGGATTCAGAAGGATTCCCCAGCTGAATCCTTCCAAAATTCCTGACCTATACAAATGTGAGATGTAATAAAAATGGTTGTTTTAAATCACTAAGTTTTGGGATAGTTTGCTATGCAGTAATGAATAACTAGAACAGTGGGCCAATGTCCTTTTCTCCAACTGTGGCTTAGATATACTGCATTAAATATGCTATAATGACACGTGTGGCTGTCAGTTAGTAAGGCTCACAGGTCAGAAAGTGTACCATCATCTTGCACCCATTTTTTCTTCCTGACACACAGCTTCTAGAGGAGCAATATCTGAACCCCAGCCTTCACTTACTGGCTCATCTATAGTCTTTCTTTGGAGGATCATTGGTTTGTCTTTCAAGTGGTCTAACTGCAGGGGCTTTGGATCTGTGCTGAGAATAAATGCATGCTCACAACATTCTTTTAGGCTGAATTAAGGTCTAATCCTGGTTTTGATTGTAGATTGATTATCATTAGCTTTATTGATCATTAGAGGGCTCAAGTTTGTTGTGATTGTTCATTTGTTTGTTGTCATTGGCCAGTGGGTTGGTGAAGAAAGAGACTAGGGTATATGACCATTGTTAAGTCTTTACTTGTATGCCACCCTCCCACTCATTAAACTCCATCACACTCCCTCTGGCCCCTGACTATGATGATTTAAGAGGACAAACAGCTGGATAGGAAGTTACCCCCCCCCCCCCCAGTTACTAGCCCTTCTGTACTCTCTAATGCCTTCTCCCCTCAACCAGAAGGGAAGCACCAGCATTTCTTTCTGGGAGTTATAATTTATTTGCATCCACATACTTAGCTGCAGGGGCAGATCAACCAGTAAGCAAGGTACACACGGGTTTACAGTAAGCAAAGTGCCCATGGGCTTAATTGTGTTTACTTACTTATCGCCCATGGGCTTAATTGTGTTTACTTACTAATCTGTAGTACACAATTTCACATGGAGCCCTGGTGGCGCAGTGGTTAAGAGCTCGGCTGCTAACCAAAAGGTTGGCAGTTCGAATCCACCAACCACTCCTTGGAAACCCTATGGGGGCAGATCTACCCAGGCAGTTCTACTCTGTCCTTCAGGGTCGCTGAGTTGGAATCGACTCGACTGCAATGGGTTTAACGGATTTTTCACCACATCAACAGGTGAAATTGTGTACTACAGATTAGTAAATAAGTACGTGTAAGCCTGTGTGTGCCTGACTTATTGGGTAATCTGTCCCTGCTTAGCTGTTCACAGCCCAAGTTTCTCAGTGGGTTTGAGCTAATGCATGTGATTGTGTCTGCTTGGTGGCATCTATGGTTTCATTGCCTGGGTGCTGAGCAGAAGGATGAGGAAAGGGACAGAAAGGAAACAAACAAGGAATATTGTAGTCTTTGGCTCTGTTCAGGTAGGACCAGTGACTGTTTTGACTTTCAGAGCAGAAAGAAAGATACAAAATAGAAATAACTTACTCCCAGAGAATGAGACCCACCATCCTTCTGTCATAGGCTCATTTGGTTTCTTTCTATCAAATTATCACTCACCTGCTTCATAGCACTACTTGCAATCCATAATGATCTCGTGTATGTTCTTGTTTTCTGTTCCTCTTCCCCACCAGAATGTGAGCTCCAGGGAATCAGGGACTCCTCTGTCTTTTTAAAAATTTTTTTTATTGTACTTTAGATGAAGGTTTACAGAACAAACTAGCTTCTCATTAAACAGTACATATATTGTTTTATGACAGTGG